CAGAGCTGGTAAGTGGTGGAGCAGGGATTTGAACTTGAGAAGGTCTGATGCTCTCTCTGCTGCACTGGTAACACAGGCCAGGGTTCTCAGAGCGTGGTCCCCAGACCTGGAGTGTCAGCATCACTTGAGAACTTGTTAGAAATGCACATTCTCAGGCTCCATCCCAGACCTAACTGAACCAGTAACTCTGGGTGCTCAGCAATCTGGTCTGAGCACTCCAGAGAATTCTGATGTCCCCTCAAGTCTGAGAACACCGCTGTAGAAAGCCCTTCATCAAATATCTTCCCAGACTTCTCTTCCAACTCCAATTTAAAAGATTAGATCTACATGCTCCCAATACCGTTCTCTCTTTCCAAGGATCTCCTCGGCCCCCTGCACTAGGACTTGCCAGGAGTGACTGCTGATAACAGTGATAGCTTGCATTTGCTTGTGGCTGCACCAGGCACTAGGGAGAGTGCCTGTCGAAGGCCCCGCACAGAGCTCCTCAGAGCACCAGTGCTCAACAGACAGGAGCCAGTATTGCTTCATTTAACCCTAACGCCAACCCTATGAGGTAGGTATTAATAATCCCATTTTATAGATTCAGAAAGTGAAGTTCACAAGGACAAGTGACTTGTGTGAGCTCACCCAGGTAGCATCGAGAGAAGAGCTGAACTCAGGTTGGTGTGACCCCAGAGTGAGACCCTTGAGGCCCCTGGAACCTCTCCCTGGTGGCAGGGAATCCCTAGGAAGGTGGCTTGTAGGGTCAGAGACACCTGTCCCAGTTCAGGCTCCCCACCACAGGCTCCTCCCTCTCCAGGTGACAGAGAGCCAGTAAAGGGCTTTGATCATGGCATGACTCTGTCTGATTTCTCATTTAGAAACAATCCTCGGCAGCCCTGCAAAGAATAACTAGAGAAGAGACAGAACACCAGTGAAAGGAGCTACTGACTACATCCAGTTTGAGATACAGAGTGAGGGACTGTGGACTCTGATGTGGCGAGACCCAGGCCCACAGCACAGTCCCAGAACCAGATCAACATGCAAGTCCAAGCTTCTGCCGGATCCACCCACACAGCCTCACTTACAGATCCCCATCTGGAGTCTGTGGGGCTGAGCTGAACTCCCAGGAAGCAACCTTTATTGAGTTCCTACTATGCACCAGGCACCCACTTAAACTTTGCCACAGACTGATTTAAGCCTCACTAGCTTACAAGATAGTGACATTATCCCCATTTGACAGATGAGGAAATTGAGGCTCAGAGAAGGCCAGTAAGTTGCCCAAAGTCACACAGGAGTTGAACTGCAGTTTGGTGGAACCCAGTTCCAATCCTTCCCACTCAACCGGCACCTCCACCTGGTTTTGCTTTCCTCTCTATGCCCTGGGGTCAGACTGTCCTGAGTTAATCTGCTTTACTAGATCCAAACCCAGGTCAGAAGCTGCCAAACCAGTGTCTGCTCCTGGGCAACTCCAGTCTTCTTTTGCCTGACCTGGGTCTCCGTCCTCAGGCCGTTGCCCGGTCCTCCCTGTAGCTCCTTGGCCCCTTCCTGCCAACTTTCCCCAAACCCACCTCAGCACCCCCACGTGTCAGGATGCCTCAAGCCTTCAGCTGATGGGTGACAGAATGGGAAAGGAACGCTTCCCATAAACTGGGAAGCTCATGTCCACGTGCCCACAGTGAAGCACACACACATTATGGAGGCATCTCATCATTCTCTCAACCGGTGGGGCCATTCCCTTGACCTCATGGGCCCCTGGGGTGGAGTGAACAGTGGAAGGTCTCAGTAAAGACCCTCACTGGAGGTCCTCGGGAGCAGAAACTCGCCAGCAGCCCCTTGCCAGGCTCCTGCTGTGGCAGGCGGGCTCAATTCTCTGGCCCTGGTTCCCCAGCATGGCTGCCTCTCAAAGTCCCATCCCACCCTGTGACTGATTCACTCCAGCTTTTCAACGGTCCTCTGGGATGCTTCAGAGCAAGACCTGGGGAGTGTGTGAATCCCTAAGGGGTTCCCGACTCTTCAGGGGTTCTGAGAAAACCACTTCTCAGTCTATTTGGGTAGAAAGCTGGATCTTTTGGTCAGACATCACGTTAAGTCTCAGTGCCTCTCACGCTCACCCTCCAACCAAGTAGGCAGCTCAGCAAGGTTGGAGAAAAGAGTCCAGGTGGGGCTGGGAAAGGTGCTGAGGCTGCTGGAGGAAGGGGAACTTTGGCTAGTCTGGGCAGACGCTGCCCTGCACCCTGGCATGGGGCCTGGTAAGTAATCAGGGCCTGGGTGGGATTCCAATCCCATCTCATCCTTTTGGTTGATGCTCTTGTGCAGTGAACAGGCTGCACCACTGCACCTGGTGGCCCTGATTGTAGCTCAAGTTTTAGAACTAGCCCAAGAATTAGAGAAGGTCCTGCCTTTCCCAGGGTACCCACCTTCTGTAAAATGGGGTAAATAATAAAACCTACCTTACAGGGTTGTTGTGAGGATAAA